TGCTTTCTCTGAGCTAAAATCTCTCAAATCAAATGTAAATAGTTCTAGAAAATTATAGATAAATTTTCTCCCGGGGAAGCACAAAGACAATTGACAATGTGATCCATGCAATTGAAAAAAACTGCAGCTAAGATGCAATATGTTTCCAGGTTAAGATGTACTGTATTTCCTGCAAAAAAGGGGGAAAAAAAACTGACACATAGTTTGAGGTTTGTAAGCACAAAGAAACGATCTCAAGACCAATTCTCAAAATATTTCTTCATCAGTTGATTTCTTATCATACACCTGATGAGTCAGTAGCTCTCATAATACAGTGCATTCCTGTTTTATACTCACAGTTGCCGCCCCAAGCTCTGTTTGCATAGTCATATCCTAATATGTTTAAACTCACACTAGCCCCAAGTTCCGCTAATTTAGTCATATCCCTGATGATGAGTCCCACAAAGTGAGCAATTAAGATCTGTGCAGCAAATAAATGGAAGGATATTTCATATTATCCCAGGCTTGGATATGGTTATGCAACTATTGTAGTGGTCATAGTAATAGTAGACTAAGTAGTTGGTGATGCCGTCACAAACGATTTTCTAAAGTGAAGATCCAAAGGCTAGACTTTCACCCTAGCCTAAAAAACCACTTGCAGTTTATGATGATTTGAAGAAAGGGAAATATGCCTTTTTTCCCGTTTATCTTTCCACGTAGCAATTACAGATACGCTTACCTAATTCATAATGAGATTTACGAATCCACTACCACCTAAAATGCTATCGACAAGATGAGAATCAAAAGTCAAAAAGTCATGATTCAAAATCGCAATGTTAGACGATTCAAAAGTTGAAGTGCTAATACAGAATATTTTAAAATGTGACACGATGACTAATTCCACAAATGACTAGGAAGTTTGATACGACACGCAACATATAGAAGATATTTTGATGGATACCGCATATCACCATGAACATAAGATTATCCACGCTTAGATTAAAACTAAATAAATGAAAAATGCACTCTTTCGCATCAGGTCAATGCGTTCACAATGTTATTATGCTTGTGCATCAATCTACTTGAAATGACAGGGAAGCCCACAATATAATAACCCCTCCAATGTTATACCATTAAATTTGAATATGGATTAAGCTCATAAATATACAACCATATGTATATAAACTATAATTTGGTAAAATACTAGATACACATGGGTGCATGCACTCAGATTTTAAAGGATCAAGGTTCACTTTTCCTTTAAACTGGTGTGATCCCCACATGGATAGGGAAAAGATGATCTGCAATTCATATACTCTGTAATCATCTTTAAACTGACAATGTCAACGCATGCAGATGAATGTAATCTCATGACTACAGATTAGTAATGGACAAAATCATTACATCAAATGGTAGGCTAAATTATAGTGAGATTGAACATTTTATTTCAGTTAATTGTTCTGAAACTAGAAAATGGAACTAAAAAAACAATACAATAGGAACAAGAAAGTTTCTAGAGTTAAAAAAGAACAATGATAAAGGAAAAAAAAATTCCCGAGTATCAATGAGAAAGCAATTAACAAGTTCAGTGGGAGTTGCAGTTCACATTTAGACAATTGTACGAGTCTTTTAATTAGGAAAATGCTGCAACTTTCCAATCAGCAAAAGAAATGTAAACTTCTTTATGATGATTATCACAAAGGCCAAACTAGAAAGTTAATCCCTACTAAAAGGCTGCAAATGTTTTAAGAGAAATGATTAATGAATGAGTACTGCATTCGTTTGGATTGATAGATGTTGAAGATACAGCCAATGGTCTAAACTTGACACAACTTTTTCTTCTTGGTCTAGAATTACTTGAAGATCAAGAAAAAACAGACAATAAACAAGTGGGTGATACCTATGTGCACAAGTAATGGAATCAGCAGAAGGTTTTAATAGTCAATTTCTAGCCATTAAGAACTGCAATGGAATAAATTAGCAGATAAAACATACAAGATGTGAAGCAAAGCAAAAACTTGGTAAATTTCACATACTTGGTCACGGATATGGAATTACCTGGAAGGGAGTGAACCCTTGAGGACAAGGACACTTCAGTTCAACCCTCGAAGAACCATAGATCTGAATAAAGCAGATCAATCACCAGTAATCACCACAAGAACAAACTCCGTCCTGAAAGTGATGGAATCGATTGAGATCTCTAACAATAATATCTCGCTGCACAATCTTTGATATTAACTTCACTGTGGCATGGCAATCCATACATATCCGAAGATTTTTAATGATACGAATGGGGCTCCCAGATGGTGCTCTAATCAGCCCAAATGCTAGAGCTAATCTTTCACTGTGTACCCACAAGAGACGCTCCTTTTCATCCTCCGCCACATCAAGCAAAATGGCATTACAATTGGGAACATGTCCTGCCTTCAAGGTTCTCAATTTCAACCATTCCAGCATGCCGTTGATCAGTTTCATATCAGGATGTGAAGTATCGCCCACAGTGAAATAATGAACTGTGCCCTGGTTCTCAATCCAACTTAAGCCAGGTTCCTTCTTTACTCCTTTCCTTTTCATATTTTTTCTAACATAAGCTACATTATCCCATCTCTTTGCGGTGGCATATATGTTTGACAATAACACATGGGTCGCCTCATCCTGAGGATCCATTTCAAGAACATGCTTGGCAGCCATCCTTCCAAGTTCGACATCATTATGGATAACACAAGCTCCGAGCAAAGCACGCCACACCATAATACTAGGTTCAAATGGGATTTCATTAATCAACTTCACAGCCTTATCAAGATGGCCTGATCGCCCTAAAAGCCAGACCATACAAGTGTAGTGCTCTATGCATGGTTCAACATCATAGTCTTGTACCATAGAATCAAAATAAGCTTGTCCTTGATCTAGAAGTCCTGCATTGCTGCAAGCTGACAGGACACCAACAAAAGTTAACTTGTTTGGTTTGCAATTTGTTTCCTGCATCATTTCAAAGACTTTTAGAGCCTCAAGGGCAAGGCCATGCATAGAATACCCTGAGATCATGGTATTCCATGAGACCTCATCTCGTTGCTTCAACTTATCAAACACCAGGCGAGCATCTTTAATGTTCCCACATTTGGCATACATGTCTATTAAAGAATTACCCACTACAGTATCCTTGTCATATACGGTTTTGACTGTTACAGAATGTATCTGAACTCCTGATTCCAACGCTGCTAGGCCAGAAGAAGCACGGAGAGCACTAGAGTACGTCACTTCTGTTGCCTCGACTTGGCATCTAATCATACCTGAAAACAACATCAATGCCTTCTCTCCATCACCTAACTGGGTGTACCCAACAATCATTGTGTTCCAAGATACATCATTTCTATTTGGTGATTCCACAAATAAGTCCATAGAGTCATCTATCTTTCCACATTTAGCATAGACACCCATGAGGGCATTTGAAACATAGACATCTGAATCAATACCAACCTTGGTTATATGGCAATGGATTTGCATCCCGAAATCTAAATGCTCCATAGTTGCACAAGCTTGCAGCGTGCTAGCATATGTAAACTGGTTTGGAACAACAAATGCTTGCCTCATCCGACAAAACAAGTCCAGAGCCTCTTCACACCGGTCACTCTGAGCATACCGTGAAACCATAAGGCTCCAAGGAACAACATCATTTTGGGGCATCTCTTGAAATACTTGCCGAGCCTCCTCAATATCTCCAAACTTGGTGTACAAATCAAGTAATGCCGTACCCACATACAGATCCCCTTCATAACATGATTTTATTACACACCCATGGACACTCTTCCCTCCATTTAAGGCCTCTAATCCCACACAAGCCTTAAGCGCACCCGTAAAAGTATAATTATTAGGCCTGAACCCAATCACCCTCATTCTAGAGAAGAGTTCGAGTGCTTCTTCAGAACAACCATTCTCAGCATAACATGCTACCATCCCAGTCCAAGCTACCATATCTTTACAAACAACCTCATCAAAAACATCCCTAGCAACATTAACGTACCCGCAAACAGAGTAGGCATCAATGAGAGCAGTCCCAACGAAGGCACTAGACCCATGCGCAAGCTTATGAATACAAGCATGAACAGTCCAAACCAGCTCAGCCCACCCCGTCCTCACAAGCAACTTCAAAATCGTAGTAAAAACAAATTGGTTAAGCTCATGGCCTTCTCTATGCAGCCCACTAAACAACTCTACAGCATCAACAAAACACCCGTAATCCGAAAACCCCTGGATCAACGTAACGAACGAAATAACATTTCTCTTGGACATTTCATCAAACAGGTTAGCGGCATCAACTAGCATACCCGCCTTCACATACATATTGAGAAGAATGTTGTCAGCAAACAAGTCCAAGCAGCCGCCTTTCTTCAGAATCTCGCAATGAAGACCCATTGCGGACCTGGCGTCGCCGTTTCGGATGCAGTGCTGGAGCAATACGCCGTATGCGTGAGAGTCGAACTCTGAGCTGGGAAGCTCTGGGTGGGTGGTGAAGTTTGGTAGGGGCAGTTGGGCGGCTTGGGCGGCGAACCCGCATCGTGAAAAGGTTGTCAGGGCGGTGGTTTTAGAGTGAGAAGCGAGATTTCCAGAGTGCAACGTTCTCTGGGAAAGCAATCTAAGCATGCCAACGAGATCGAAAACGAAGAAATATGTAAAGTTGTGAACTTTGGCTTCCTGTAAGAAACTGGACTCTCCGTTGAGAGTTTGAAAGAGGGCACTACGTTTCAGCGGGAAGGCTAGTCACCTTCGCGGCATCAACCACTCGACCATGTCAAAATTCAAAGACCCAAGACACAGACCTCAACATACCCACCATTGCACCAATAAGTTCTTGAAGCCCCAAGCCCGCTCTTCCTAATTATTTTTGACAAATTCAATTAGATGACCATTGTTGACACTCTCTAAATGTGAAAGTCATTGTAATTCTTTAATTTTTTTTTATTTTTTTATTTTAAAAAAGAGAGTGCAAAATGATCTTTTGGGATTTATGGCCATAAGTAAATGGTGAATTACCAAGTTAATTTCTGAATTGTCACTTAAGTAAAAATTAGGTTTTTAAACTATTTTTTTAGAAAAATCAGTCATTGAATTATAAAAACCTGTCAACTACATCCCTAATATTAGATTTGAAGCTACTGTATTCAATTTAAGTCATGTTACTTGCATATGATACACATTGAATGGTAGATTGGTAATTTTCATAAATAAATTATGTGAAATCCCGTCCCCGGATATCACTATTTAAAATTATGTATTTCGTATTCTTAGTTTTGACGCGTTTGTATTTGCGGTGTTTAATTTTTTTCCAATAAGTAAAATGACGAAATTGCCCCTATTGTATTAAACATGATTTCTTTGCGGATGTATTTGATCCTTTCATGATTTTTCAGATTTCTTTACTTATTCAAATAATACATCTCAATAGGGGTGGGTTCAAAAAACCGAAAATCAAACCAAACCGAAAAAAAAAACCGAACCGAAAAAAAAAACCGAACCGAAACTACCAAACCGAACCGAATTGAACCGAACCGAAAAAAAATTCATATATAAATACTAAAAAAGACATGTTGCCGTCGGGGTTTGAACCCTTTCCCTACGGGTTGGGGTTGGTTGTTGCAAGCCAACTTGACTGTAGGCTTTGTGTTGTTATAATTGTACTAGTAATTTATTTATAGGTTTCTTATGTTTAATGCTTTATAAAATTTCTTAACTTTACAAACCCTAGCTGTCTCACTCCCATTTCATTTCAGATCTCAAACACCTCTCTGTTCTGTCCGCTGCTTCCTCTTTGCCTTTGCTTCCTCTCTTTCTCTCTCTCTCTTCCTCCCTCTCCCTCTCCTTCCTCTCTTCCTCCAAATCACTCTCTCCAATCTTCTCCTGTCCTCCTCGCGGATTCCTTCTTCCAAACCATGATTTTCCCTTGCCCTTTTCGAGATCTGACAAAAAGAGGAATTGAAAGAGCTTGCGACGATCATGGCTATATCGCTGCAACAAAGGTTGTGGTTTTATTTATTTGTCAGTTCATAGGTTTTTAATTGTATGGTTACCCATTTGAAATTTGTGTAATTTAAGGTGAAAAAGTTTGTATTTTTCTCTAAATATGTTTTGGAATTTTCTAGATCTATTGTGGACTTGACTATGAATTTGAATGTGGGCACTGGGCATGCGCTATTGAAGTCCGATTATGGTATTTAGAAGAACCCAATTGCTTTTTTTTTTTTCGATTTGCATTGATCATTTAATTTGTTGAGTTATTTCATGATTTTGTAAATTTTAAAGTTTTTGAATTTTGAATCTTGGCGATGTACATTTCCTTGAAGAATATATGTTTATGTATTTGCTTAACTTTTGAAAATTTGAATTCGTTCTGCTTGATCACAAGTAGTTGAATTACTTGAATATATTCAGGATTTTGAGGCTCTCAATTCTCTGATATATGAGAACTGGGAGGTTGATAGGTAGGTTCCTTCCATTTACATCATTTAAAAATAAAAATAAAAAACCGAAAAAAACCAAAACCGAACCGGAAAAAACCGAAACCGAAAAAAACCGAACCGAAAAAAAATCGAAAAAAAATGAACCGAACCGAACCGAACCGAAATTTCGGTTTGGTTTCGATTTTGGCAAAAAACCGAACCGTTTTGAACCGAACCCACCCCTACATCTCAATACAAATGCATGGGCGCAAACGGAATGTAATTTGGTGTTATAAATGAACGAAGTTGAGGAAAAAATGGTCATTTGACCATAAATCTAAAAGGCTCGTCAAATCTGATGTGCCACGTGTGTGGATGAAATTGGAAAAGGAAGAGAGAAATGAGAGAAAGGAGGGGATGCTGCCCAATTAGAAAAGAAAGAAAGGAGGGGAAGCGAGAGAGAGGAGAAGCACGAAATTCCTCGACCCGTTTCCCTTTGTGACTTAACCCGGCAGGAACCATGGAATCTGATGCTTTCTCTGGTCAAATTTCAGAGAATTACGCCGAGACACCACCTGGGAAACACTCAACGACCCTCCATTTACCAATTCCACCCCAAAGTCGATGAAATTGGGCTCAAATTTATGAAGAACCGCACTGGTGGGTACAATGGTTCCACGGCAGTGAAGTTAACTCCATTGATAACCACCACCAATATACTCCTTTTGACCCCGGGAACAAGGCCCAAGTAGTGGTTGAGGCGTTAAAGTTCGTTTTGAGGTCGAATTGCTAAACACCCATTTCTAGGGTTTCTAATGGATCAAGGGCAATTTCAGGTATTTCCTGGTCGAATTAGACTTCGACTCAGGTATGAAAGTTCTCCCCCTTACAAGATTTGGTAATTTTTGGAGTTAGGTGAATTTTCTAGCGAGTCGGGGCAGTCAGTTGCCACATGTGGTGGCGCGTGGCCCAAGCACCCACTTGACCCTTCTAAGCTAAATTTGATACCCTGATTCCATATGTGACATCCAATGGATGAAATCCCATCGTTCGAACATAGTTTCATTAGGGTCCTCCTCTTGATCATTATAACCATCGACGATCCGACGGTTGGATCGTCACCAAACTTTAATGCGTTATAGCAAGTAATATTGGAGAACATTGGAAACTGACAGATTGGGAATCCGACTTACGGATCTTAATGAATTGAATTTTAAGTTTGTAAAACCAAACGTTGACTGCCACTTAATTTTAGCGATTGGAAAAGATCTGAACTTTGGATCATTTCAAAATTTTAGGAAATTGTTCTAGAAGACTAATGAGACTCTTGGGAAATTACGGATCGGTAATCTGTTGGTAGATATTCCAGATCGAAATACGTAGGGTTGTGGACCCCACTGTTGACTGAGAGGTGACTTTTGGTCAACATGTCTCAAATTGTTTTAAATACTAAAATTAGTACTACTAGAGACTAAGTGAAGTCTAGTGGGCCTACATTGGTTAGCAAGTGACTTTAAGATATGTGACATGGTTCTTACCCTGATTTCGTATTTAGTATCCTTTGTGGATATGACTTGGTTTTGATAAATGTAATTTCTATTAAAATGTGATTTTTAATGTTTAGCCATTGATCTATTATTATGAAATGTGATTTGACTTGTGTATTAGAAATGTTTGTGAAATGTGATTTGAAATGCATGTTGAAGTGTTTGTGAAATGTGAAGGCTAGTAATGGACCGTTAACCCATTGTGATGGGGATTTGTTGCTTCGATATTGTTTCATTTCTCGTTTCGTTGATCTGTTCTAAATTTAGTACTTGTGCTTGTTTCATTTCATTGAGCCTTTATGAATTGAGTAACTTGATTCATGTCTTGTTTCTTCGAGCCGTTGTTATGTTCATTGGACTTCTGCTCAGTTCCATTGAGTTATTCGGAACTGGGTTTTGTTGAGTGGTCTGGTTCCCTGCTCCTTTGGATTTTGTTGAGTGGTCTGAAATCCCTCGTGCTCCGTGATTCTGTTGACTGGTTCGGAATCGTATCATGCCTTGGATTTCATTGAATGGTCTGATATCCATTGTACTCCGTAATTCCGTTGAGTGGTCCGGAATCGTGTCCACTAGGATTCCGTTGAGAGGTCTAGAATCCCTTCTATTCCGCGATTTCGTTGAGTGGTCCGGAGTCGTATCCTAATTTGGATTTTATTGAGTGATCCGGAATTTCGCTTGGAATTTTGGTTCTGTTGAGTGGTCCAGGACTCAATGTTGTTGGATTTCGTTGAGTGGTCGAAATCACAATTTTCAGAGATGTAGGTTTCGGCCAAATTGTGTCGCTCTAACCCTGCATCTTGGTGTATTGTATGTGTTATGATTGATGTGATTGTTGAATGGTGTTGGAAAGCATGTGTGTGTGAGACTAGCATGATGAAAACTCTTGTTTGTCTTATGGTTGATGTGAAGTGTGGTACTCTATGTTTTCTGCTAGAAAGTGTCTTACGAAAAGTTTAGAGCTTAACAAATGGTGAACTACGAATAACTTGATCCCTATTTAGGGTACGTAGGCAATCTAACAAGGAGGTTAGATGCAGCCATAAAGTATACAAAAAATTACTACGGAATCCGAATCTTGAGTTGTGCTTTGTCCATATCCCGGAGGCGGGGTATGTTAGATATACGAGTACTTGGTGATGTCACGTGTCGATCTTGAACATATGTTGGGATCGGTGTGTGACAGATTAGATGTTAAATTCGTAACCTATATGAAATGTTAAGGGCTTATAAGTGAAAAAATGACGGTATTATACTTTGAAGTATGTCAAATGATTTAAGTTGACGAAAAATTGAATAAAATAGTTTTAAATATAATAGTAAGAATGAAGTTAGCAATTTTTAATGAATTTACAGATGTATTCTACCCAAAAAATAATTCCAAGACCTAATTTTCACTAAAATGATAGTTCAATGACCAAATAAGCACTTCATCCATAACTAAAATAATCTTTTCGAAGTGCCATTAACATTTTGCGACAATCTAGCACTGTTAGATCGTGATGAATAAACACTAATTGAGAGATTTAGCATCAACCATAAAAGGTAAAAGCCGGCGGGAGTTTCGTCTAGCGAAACAATTAACTCCGTACACTCGAGATTTTTTAGATTAGAATTAGGCAGTACGTTCTGCATAAATTGAAACAAAGAGATCGGTTGAATTGAAGGACATTTCGTTCTTGGATACAATGATATCCTAATAAATCTGGTGTTACGCATTCCGGCAACGGGATTGTGTTGCAACGATTAGTAACATGCACATGTTCTGGCGTTTACAAACAAAAAAATAAAATCTGCAGACAAAACCGTTCACATCAAATCACTTACAGAATACTGAATTCATCAAGAACACGATGCATATCCAATGCAATTAGAGAAACATTCCAACACAAAGGTTGCAAGGTTTATACCAATACTTTCTCCAGTAACAAAGATCGCTAATGCAGCATTTAAGGACAGACGATAATGATAATACAGCCTTAATCAGCACAAAACACAAAGTACGAAGCAGCCAATGAGATCGTTGTGCAGAGAAAGAAGATGAAATCTACAAATTCCCCACTAGTCAAATGCCTAAAATCATAAAAGGAGTTGTTTGTAACAGCCACCCTTTGATTCAGTGTCGAATAAGTAATATTTCTCATACGCCCAACTACAACACATGATCCAATTCTAAGCATCAGAGTACTTTCTCATAATACCAAAGGGTTATCGCTACGCAAGTGCGATTCCAGATTGCAATACAGAAAAGTTCACTAAACATAACATAGAAAAACAAAGCATAAGCCGAATTAACGATTCAGTATTCGTCCCTCCTAAATAAAACAAGGTACAACCCAACATTCGAGAACAAATAAGTTGAGAATCATTTGAATATCAACACCCAGAATACATTGAAAACAAATTGGCATCTCAAATAACGAAAGTAGCAGCTATAACATTTCCGTGACAGAGAAACTGATCACTGATAATCTGTCAATGAAACTTAAAAGGGTAGACACATGAACACTTAAAACAATGCTTCAACTGAAGTGCAAAAGATAATGTTAACCACCAAAATTAACTAAACATTCATAACATAACACTCCCATGGTAAGGTCCAGACCGCTGCCCTAACAAATTACATATGCAAAACACTAAAAAGGCAAAGGGAAAAACGAGGATAACCCATATTTCAACCCCAAAAAGCTCTTCTGCAATTCCCAAATAAATGTAAATGCGATGAAAGCAAGAGCATCAGTCTCCCTTTCTTCTGAAAGAGCAACCTTCGGTGAGCCTGGCGCGTCCTCCAGTAGGCTGGCACAACACCGTCTGGCAGTTACCGCACACCACAACTGTTTGTGAGTGACTGAACACGGTGGTTCTGCACAAATGATTTTCCTTTTGTTATACTTTCATTCAAATTTAAATCATATACAGAAAACATATATAAAATCATCACAAAGTCAACGGGAAAACATCAACATGAGCAGAGCGGCATTACTTACATGCTAAAGCATCCTTGGCACTTAACATCCTGCCACATTAAAAACAATCAAAATCAACAATTCACCCAAAAACCTAACAATTATACGAAAACGCAAACGTTGAAAAACCTTCGTAATCAAATAATTACTAATAATTACCATGAAAAAAGAGTTGGGAGTCTGCACAAGCCTCTTGAGCTTGTGCTTCCTCTTCTCGAGCTCAGCTGGCGGATGAAGCAAATCGATGTCGTTCTGAAGCACCTGTTTACAACCAGCCATCAAAATCTACCACCAAGCGATCCATTTTCTCACAAATCCAATATATTTCCCAATTAATATAACAAAAACAGAACGACCCACGTAAAAAAATAACCCATTCAGTGGCATTCAAATATAATCTACACTTTAAACAGGCGATTTGCAAAACTGGGGATAAATCAGTGAGCCTAATGAAAATAACGATTCATATCAGAGCAATTGGTTGATGAAATATGAAAAGCAACAGATTTAAACGTTGGGTTCTAACCATGTTGATCAATGCAGATCGTAACAAACCAAAAAAAACCAAAGAGCCGCAAGAAACCCCTGAATAGCTGGAGTGCGAGAGAGGGAGCGACCGAGAAGATTTTAGGGTTTATAAGGCTACGAATATAAACGAGTGTCTGAGCGATGTGGGCCGTCGGATCCAACACAAACTTATATCTCCTCCTTTACCCCCAACACGGGGCATTATCGTCCTTTCATCATTATAACCAAGACGAAACGGCGTCGTTGTGGTTGTCGGCGAAGGAATTAGGGTTTCGCGGTTCGATTTGGCTCCTCCTTCCCTCTATATAATGCGTTCTAGAGATGCTTATGTAGTGTCTTCGTCCTCCCGCGGCCGCTCGGGAGTGCACAATGTGCTGCTCAAATTCATCGTTTGTCACCGCCGTTAGATGAATTTGGTTGCCGGTAAACTCATCAAACACATCTAACGGCAATCAATGGTGAGAGAATGCAATCCTTTTCTCCCATTTATTGTATTTTTTTTTTCTTTCGAATTTTTGGTATTTATGTTTTCCGTTGAAGTGTTGGTGAGAGCAAATGATGAGAAACATTTGGAAATGTAAACTGATTGGCGAAAGCCATGAAGCTTCCAAAATTCGAGCTTTTTAAAACTGATGCTCCTTCAACTCCTCTCTCTCTCTCTCGTTTCTCGTACAATATTTAGCTTCCTTTATTGAGTTTGTTCTTAAATCCGATTAGGGTTTGTGCTTGATCGATTGAATCGGATTAGAGGTCTAAAATTGCCTATGAGAGATCCGAGCGAACTTAATTGTCGTGGCGCTCGAGTTCCGTTGCGGGCATATAAAAACCCCAAAAAGTAAGGCCTGCCTTTGAGCGAGAAGATGTTTGCATTCTCCTCTTGCGTTGAAGGAAGGTTTTATACATTATTTTTCGGTCATTTTTTCTTTTGACAAATGTTATAACGAGTAAAAACTCGAAAATATAAAATACACCGGGAGCACGGTAGAAAATTTCTTGGGCCGTTTCAAATGGGTTCTTGTTTCTGATACGAGATCTCAATTTCACCCGGCCAATATGTGATATTATTATATGGGGCAGTATCAAGGTTTTACATGTGTTTTTATTCACCTTGTAATTCAGGTTACTGCCCTAAATTTGTATCCCTAGGAGATCGAGAATTTTACCTCTAAAAGTTAACCAGGAACAATATGTAAGAGCTTTCGATGGAAACAATCAATCCCTTGTTACAAATTTATAAAATTCTGTAAGTTAATATCGCATGCGGATTATTTCGAAGTAAACAATCAATCCCTTTTACAATCCTCATAGAAAATGGTAATGATTGGATTTGAACTCTTGATGACATGCTTGCTTATGTGAAATGCTTTCACATTAAAATTTAAAATTTGTAATCTTACAACACATAAAACTTGGAAAGATCAATTGGAGGATGAACTCTTACCTAGACTCCCTTGAGCCTCTTATAACCACAAATAATGTGTTTTTACTTGCATACAATGATTTGTTTGAGATACCGTTTCTACGTGTGTTTTGGTCCATGAAATTACCTTCAATAGTAAGGCAAGGCATTCCTATTTATATATGATGATTCATGGATACAACAAATGGATGGAGAACCATCTGTTACTCTTGGGCCTGTGGGCATTGCCCAATAACTTCATTTCTCTGGCACTGTTGGGCTCTCACTTAACCTATTTGTCCAACCTCCCTTATCACTTTTTTTATTTGTTTTTTGTTTTTTTTTTTCGCTTACCATTTCTAAATTCATTTGCTTTTACCTAATAGGTAGAGCTATTCATACATTTATTTTTATTTTTCACATATATATGTTTTTAAAAGTTCGATTGTTGGATCGAATGAGTTGAAGAAGATCAATCGTCAAAAAACAACAAGGGTGTATGTTCGGTCGTTAGATCGAAGTAAAATGATATGATAGAGCAATAAGGTTGTACGAATTGACTATTTCGTGGGGCCAACTTTGTAAAAAAAGCCCTATTTTCTGGTAGTGACGGCACATTACATAAACTACTCATACACACACTTTGCACAACTACTACGACAATGTTTGAAAACAAAGAAGGCATGTCTCTATTTATAATAGAAAAGTCGGCTGCTAGATTTACAGACCAAGTAAACATTTAGTAAAATATAAATATCCCCTATATTAACTTTAAAACTATCCAAAATGGGATAAATAAATCATGTGGAACACTAATGGAATTGCGCATGGCTAATATATGTATTAGGGTTCGACACTTGGTATGCAAGTGTCATCATGATACAAGAAAGTTTAAGGCTTATCACAATGTTTGCAGGAGGTGTCCTAATCTTATGCAACGCCTGAAACGAAAGATATCTATACCACTATGGTTTAATATATATATATATATATATATATATATATATATATAGACACACACACATGCAAACATGAACAAAAGATAATATGCTATTTTTTTTAAATAAGGGTTCTCACAAACTCAAATTGTTTTTAATTTGAAACGCAATTTTAGAATTCTAGAAATAAATGAGTGTATAATAAGGAGGAAAAGTCTATACAAATACTATCATAGAGTTGGATTTCAAAATTTGTGTAGGTCTCACCAAATGTTTGATTCCTTAATACTTAGTAAACACTTGAGTATTCTGTAATCGAAATTCAATTTCGCTTTTTGATTCCAATTACTCTTACTTGAATGTGCCACTAAATGTGATCCATAGTTCTTGGCTGGAGATGACTTAATGCGCACGAAACTATATGTTTCTTTTTCCATGCCTATTTTAGCTACTAGGCAAATATTGACTAATTTTCACGTATTTAATTGTTTGTGTTAAGAGCTTTAATAAGTTGCTCTCTCTCTCTCTCTCTCTTCAGTCTTTGGATTCTGTTCAGTTCTTGGTTTTTATTGTTCTGCATAAACTTATGGCATTCCCTCAAATTTCCAAGTCATACAAGTTTTGGAACCCTACAATACTTAATAAACCCTCCACTAACTAGCTTTAAATTGTTGTCCAACACGATTGGTCTTCTCCAACATAATTAATGTATGGGATAATGGCCATCGGGACGGTGAGGAAGATGAACGGTGGAATGTGAAAGAAAAAGCATAAGCAAAAAAATAACAGAGGACAAAGGTTAAAAAAGGAAAATAATTTTTACGAGTAATTGCAGGTTGCATGGGAACATTGAAACACGTCGTACGTGCGGCATGGTATTAGGAGTGGTTAAAACTGATGCTCCTTCAACTCCTCTCTCTCTCTCTCTCTCTCTCTCTCCTTTCTTACAATATTTAACTTGGTTTATTGGTTTTGTTGTGGTTCTAATACTTTAATTTGTTTGATTAAGGAGTGGGTTAAATCTGATTAGGGTTTGTGTTGATTAATTGAATCTGATTAGAGGTCTAAAATTGCCTATGAGAGATCCGAGCGAACTTAATTGTCATGGCGCTCGAGTTCCGTTGCGGGCATATAAAAACCCCAAAAAGGAAGGCCTGCCTTTGAGTGAGAAGATGTTTGCATTCTCCTCTTGCGTTGAAGGAAGGTTTATACATTATTTTTCGGTCGTTTTTTCCTTTGACAAATGATTTAAAAACTTAGAAAAAGTAGAATACTCCGGAGCAAGGTCGAAAATTCCTTCGGCCGTTTCAAATGGGTTCTTGTTTTTGATAAGAGAGCTCAATTTCCCCGGGCCAATATGTGATATTATTATGTGGGGCAGTATCAAAGTTTTACATGTGTTTTCATTTACTCTATAATTCATGTTACTGCCCTAAATTTGTATTCCCTTCTGGATCAAGTATTTTACTCCAAAAAGTTAACCAGGAACAATATGCAAGAACTTTCGAAGTAAATAATCAATCCCTTGTTATAATTTATAAATTTCTGACGAGGAAACATTGATCTGATCCTAACTAAATTGATCTATCTGATGCTTTTACATTTCGAAGTTAATGTCGCATATTGATTATTGCGACGCTGATGGTCCTCCCAACATTGGTTGGGAGCTCATCCGTCGACAGTGAGCTCCTTGTGGAGTAGTTTCACTCTCTTTGCCATTTGGCATTGGTCATGAGACTCACATTTTTTTCTAATTTTTTTACAATCCTCATAAAAAAAGAAGAAGTAATAATTGGATTGAACTCTTGATGACATGTTTATTTACATGAAATAATTCTCACATTAAAATTTAGAATTTGTAATCCAATAACGCATAAAATTTGGAAAGATCAATTAGAGGACGAACACTTACCTACAATCCCTTGAGCTTGTTAGAACCACTAATAACACAACATCATATGATTTTACTTCTTCACACGTCATTTTGTGATTTGTTTGAGATACCGTTCCCGCTTGTGTTTGACCGGTGAATTCCCTTCAATCGTAGGGCAAGGCATTCCAGGCATTCCCATGTAAAATGATTCATGGATATAACAAGTGGATGGAGTGCCATCTGTTAATCTTGGGCCCGTGGGCAATGCCCAATAACATCGTTTTTCTAGCACACTGTCGTGCTCTCACTTTAACCTATTTGTCCAACCTCCCCATGTCAGTCCTTATTATTATTATTTTTTTCGCTGGCATCTCAAAAATCATTCACTTTTTTCTCATGAGAATATTCACATATTTATTTTTATTTTTCACATTCTTAATTTTTAGTTGTCAGATCAAATGAGTTGAAAAAGATCAATGGTAAAAAATTAACAAAAGTGTGCGTTCGACTGTCAAATTAATAAATTAAAAAATATCAATAACAAAAAACAAACAAGGTATGTTAGAAGTAAAATAGATGTACGAATTGAATATTTTGTTGAGTAAACGGCTTTTAAACCGACAAAAACTATTCCGTCGGGCAAACGGGCAAACTTTTGTAAGACAAGCCCTATTTTCTAATAGTGATAGCACATTACATAAATACTTACACATACACTTTGCACAGCCACTACGACAATGTTTGAAAATAAAGAAGGCATGTCTCTATTTCTAATAGAAAAAAGTCGGCTGCTAGTCTTTACAGACCAATTAAAAATATAGTAAAATATAAATATAGGGATAATTTTTTTGCAGGAGGTGTCCTAATCTTATGCAATGCACGAAACGAAAAGATATCTACCACTAGGGTTTAATACACACACACACACACACACACTCACATGCATACATATGCATAAATTAGTACACACACATGTGGATGCAAATTTCTTCTTCCTTGACTTGGACAAAATTGTACCTACAAAACAAATAACACCTTAGATCAAGGCCAAGAGCCTCACGCGCCCACGATGAATGGGGAGGGAGGGCTTTGGCCGAAGAACCTCCGATGCCAAAGTTAGAATTTAGAGAGAAAAGTGTTTGAGAGTTTTGGAGAATTTTAGCAAGAGTGTGGAACTAGGTTTTGGTGAAAATGGAAACCAATATATAGGGCATGGCCGGTCATCTTTGGAAGAAAGAGTGGCCGGCCCTTGGGTATTTTTTGGGGGTGTAATGAGTGATTTAATTGGTGATTAATGGATTAATTAGGAATTAATCCATTAATTAGCCAATTAACCTCCACTTGAGTGGAATGTTATGTAGGTTATAAAATAATTACCTAAGATGAGGACGGATGAGAATATCTTTGAATTGGTTACCTATTTTGGACATTTTTGACTTGATTGACGGATGATTGTCCACTGCTTGTGCGTAAGAATCCCGGTATGCCTCAAGAGTATTTTTGTCCTTTTTTACCCAAAAATCCATGTGTCGCTTTATGATTATTTTTGGCTCCACAAATGCTCCCACACCTACTGGGCTGCTCGTAGGAAATGGCAGTAGGTGTAGAGATCTTCTTGCTCTAGGAAACATAGGATTGCTTCCTGTTGATGTAGATTCCCTCTTTAATATGAAATTAGATCATTTTAGGAAAGGGAAATAAATTTATCTCAAAACCTATTTAAGTCCACCTTAAGTGGGTTATTAAATCAACTTTGGAAAGTGATTTATTCTACCCTACAAGAGAGAGAGAGAGAGAGCTTAGAGGATATTTGTTCCCCCTCCTCTAGCAATCTTCTACATCTTGCCCATGCAAATGACCGTCTTTCGTTGTTTTCTTCGTCTTCTCCATGTTGCACCAGTGTAATAAAAACTTAATTTCTTTTTGTCTTCTTCTTGGATAGTGCTGTCGTGGGGCAGCCATTGGGGTGGTGCGGTACGTTGGCTGGCAGGGGCTAGGAATCGGCTCAGCATGGGCCGATGAGGTGTTGTGGCAAGGACCACTGCTTTA